TTTTCAGATATCGTCTTTTATCTACTGAGCTCATTAGTTTTCACTATGCCTCAGTCCCATGCCATGCCTCCTTGGTCATGCTTCTTCTACGCCCCAGAGTACACTGGGTCGGCGGTCACACGGTATTACTTCACGATTGCGACACCTTTCGGATCCTCGCTAACCACCTCATTGATCTGCTTCCCATTTCAGTTCCTGCATCCCCGTTTCTTCCACTAATGCCTATTCGCCTGAATCTCTACAGGATGAAACGCCTTCATCCCATGATGACTGGTTAGAAGTGTTATCCCCTGCGGTCCGGACTTTTTGTCCTGAGTGTGCGCGTACCCGTGGGCGGTAGTCCTTCTGCTGTGATTTGCAATGTTTTGTATTACTGTTATTTTTTTAAACTTTTGTATCACCCTAATTATTGCTTTGCTTTCACTTGTTCTCCAGTGTGCCTCCGTTGACGTAGTTTATTTTCTATCAATCACTATGTCGCTCCATGGAATCTCGACTGTGTAAATACATTCACACGGTGTCTTCTTGTTTTGTTTCCCCTTTATTGTGTGTGAATTCCACCATTCCATCTTATCCGGGCTATGCAAAGGTTAATTTGGTTTTCTCAGACCCTTTACGTCTCTTTTCCGGTTAACCACCGTATGACTAAGTCAAGTAGTATGAAGTTTAAATGACCAAAGTGGAAATCATATTAAGTGGCCCTACTCGGATCTCCGTCCACATCCGGAAGACCACTGGAACGCTCTAGGGAGCTAGCCCGTGGTTCCATTCACAACCAGTAGTCTTCAAATCAACAGAGAGCAAGGTGTAATCTTTTTCACAGTTAAACCTAACTCCGTTGCAAAGTGCTGGCTAACAGTGTAGGTAGCCCTTTGTCCTCTGAAAGCATCACGTGTCCCCAGACTACGAAACGTTCGTCCAGTGTTTTCCCGCACAATTTTGGCTCTCTGGTCTGCTCTAATTGTGAAGAATTCCATTTCGTATCTGATTTTGCATCATCGCTCTCTCCTATCACCGGCCATTCTCTAACGCTGGTTTTTTCACTGCACTCATTCTGACTAGAATGACGTTTGTGTTCCAAGCGCTGGCCCTGCTTGGCAATGAGATCGTACCGCATCCGCGGCAATCGTCCCCAAATTCCAACGATCCTGCCACACCCTTGGAGCCTTTTGTGAATTCTGATCTACGAGTCGACGATGCCTTAACCGTACTTAGCATGTGTGCACGAAAGCGGTTGCCTGCTCAGTTAGATCACATTGAACAACCTCCTTTGCGCGGTTGACTCATTTTTACCCAGAGTTCAATAGACAGCAGTTGATTGTTAGTACTTTTGTAATCTGGTATCCATGCTGCTCTGTGTAGCCCGGAGCCTTGATTCTACGACTCCATTGATGACTTGGATCACAACTGTGTGTATTGTGATTGTCGTTAAAAACATGGACAACCTCGTGAGATGCCTTTCAGGGGAATCCGTTTTTGAAATTGGTTCTTGTGGTGTCTACCTCACTGACTTTTTCTCTGGCTATGCCCTAACAGTATTATCTTCGTTTGTGATCTTGCCTTCTGCCACACACGCTGGTATTCATCAACCCTGCGTCCACCGGTGTGACACTCTATCTTGGGCTATTTGCCGCCTTGATAACACAGCTCCACATTGTGCACATCAGTGCAAGACGATTCGTTGAATCGGTACATTAATCTCAACTCTGACGGTAGTACATGTCCGCATAGCCCTCCCGGTTTCGGCGGAGCCCTCAACATCGAGGTTACTCACTGTTATTTGTCCATGATGTGATCCATGTTTTTTGCTTATTGACCACCGAGTTGACTGAATCGGCTGCTTGACAAAATCACCTCCATTGTTATATGCATTAGCCACATTTCTTACACCTCTGAGTCGTCGATGAGTTTCCAATACTACGACTCCTTTGAACTTACTTCGGAAGATCTTTCTGTTCACTAAACAGTTTCATAGTGTCTACAACGCCGCGTCCGACTGAGTCAATAGTCTGGCTGATCGTCAGCAACTTATCGTATCATGGAAACCGCTGTTCTTTTTTGGAACAGTAAAGTATTATGTGTCGCTTACGATAGCGAAATGCTGTGCCCACCATTTGGTCAGATCATCTTACATAATTAAGGATATGCTCTTGCATGTATCGTGCTTGTATGTTTGTCTACCTTACGCAATAATCCTCTTGAGATAGTATCAGATCCATTAGACCGCAACCAGATAAAAGATTACTGGTTGGAAGCAGCAAGTGGAGTTCGCTCTGTGTAGCTGCATCATTCGTCGCTCTTAGACATGTACCCTTTATGTTGTGTTCCGCGTCGACAAAGTGTTTTTGTCAAGGGGCTTCTTAAATTCCGACACTGACTTTGCCTCTACTACGTGCTGCAGCAGGTCGTTCCATACATTCACCACTCTGCGTTCGAAACAGCGTTGGTGATCGACCCGCTTCGAATCCGGTACGATAAGCTTGTACCGGTGTCCTCGTGTGCTGCTTGGTGTGCACAGATGAAGCAGCAGTCTCACCATGAGGTAATCTCCCAGATGTAATATCTGGTTCGTCATGATGAGGTCAACCCGCATCCGACAATAAGCTAGGGTGTACAGCCCTAGTTTCTTGCACCGGTCTTCTTACAACACACCTCGTAAGTTGGGAATCAGCCAGGTGGCTACATGCTGCACTCGCTCAATCTTTTCTACCTCCCCCCCGGGTGATAGGACAATACGCGGGAGAGCCATACTCTAGCATTGGTCGTATTGTTGAGACGAAAAGGCGAGTGGCAATCTCTTCGGACCAAGTGCTGAAGCTGCGCCTGAGCTCCCAAAGCATATGAAGGCTATTTTGGTAAAGCCTGTTCATGTTGTCCATGGACTTTAAGTCGTATCGTGAGAGCACACCGAGGTCGCGCACGAAAAGCGCGGGATGCAACGGTTGACCAGCCACCGTGTAGGTTCAACCATGCTTATACCCAGCCTCATGAATTGCGACGTGGCAGGGTTTATCGGAAGGTTGACCTCTGCAGTCCACGTGGAGAGGCAGTCCAGGTCTTGCTGAATCAGTTCACAGTCATTGGGTATGTGGATTACTCTCCACACCTTTAAGAAATCTGCGAACAGCGCACAAGGTGATTGGAGTAGCTGAGGCACATCGTTTACATGGATGAGAAACAAAATCGGCCCCAGTACAGTGCCTTGGGGTAAGCCACTGCTCGTTGCATACCAGTCAGTTAAATAATTCTCCACTTGGACCATCCACTTTCGATCAACAAAGAAATTCTTGATTCATCGATGCAGCGCGCCATCAACACCCTCAGCCTGTCAAGGAGCACTGCATGATTTACCTTGTCAAAAGCCTTACTGAAGTCAATGTAAATGACGTCGACCGATTTGCCTTGGTTCAGCGCTTGTAACCATTCGTACCTCGTCAACAGTAGGTTGGTGATGCACGAGCGACCTTTCACGAAACCATGCTGTGCGGGCGTCAAGAGGCTTTTCGACTCGAGAAGCTGCAGAAGGCTCTTCTTCACCATCTTCTCGAGCGTCTTTGCCAAAGCAGCGGTCACAGCAGATCATGCCCTGGTAATTATTCACTTTGCTTGGGTTACCACCTTTCGGTATTGGCTTTACAACTGAGCATTTCCAGTCGCCCGGGAATATTTCCAGTGGATAGTTGGGACATGTTGAACAGCTCAGTTATCAGAAGCGAGATGGATGGCCGGATAGGGGACTTGAAGAATCAGTGGGTGGGGTTCCAATGTGGCCCAGCAGGCTTCGTCCCGTCAAGACTTACTATGAAGCTTGCGTACCTCTTCAATGCTGCAGTCTAGGCTGTCTAGTTCACCGGGAGCGCCACTCGTCGAACTCGTTACAGACAACCTGGTCCACTTGCAAATACGGAGGCGAAGTGTGCCTGCCAATGCGGACGCACGATCTGTGCTCGATATTAGGAGCTGTTTCATCTGAGCCTTCCAACACTGGCAGATTGACTGCCGACCTCAGACGGCCGCTTCCACGTAGGCAGAAGGAAATCCACTTGGGAGCAGTTTTTGCGGCGGTTTGTAAGCTCCTCTTCGAAACTTCCTGCGGTTTTTTCGCGTTGTTGCAGAGATTTCGCTGTATCTTGTACGCCTTGTAGTCCTCATCAGACTAAGTTAACACGAATTTGTTCTATAGTATGCGTCGTCGTCGAGCCAGTTTGCTACACTCTTTTTCGAACCAATGTGGTTTTACTGGCTTCACTTTTCCATACTTGTGGGGTACAAATCAGGCGCACAACAATTTCACTCCTCTTTATCGATAGTCCAACGGGTTTCAATAGACGAATCCTGTGGTAAAGACCAGTCCATCTGGCTGGCTGCTCGAATGAGGCCATTAAAGTCCGCCTTCCAACAGCTGGATGTTTGCTCCAGCGGGGTAGAATACGGCAGCGGCAGTTCTAAGCTGACTATGATCATCGAGTGGTCACTGGCTCCCAGAGTCTCCAAGACTTGGATGTCATGCACACGTTGCTCACAGCTGGTCAAAAGCAGGTCTAAGCACAATGGAATCGTGTACTTTGTGTGTCGGCTTGTTCCACATGCCAGACATTCTTTATGGAATAGTTGCGCGGTGATTTCCATTCTGAAGAATTTAACCATTGAGAGAGAGCGCTCGCTTATCATCAATAGTTTGGAGTTTCATTGAGGAAAACACTCAACTCTATTGTCACACATTCTCCGTTTTTCACACAGCACGTTTTGTTTTAGGCCTAGTAGTAGTGCTACTTCAATTTTGTGTTCCACGCTAAAGTCCTAGAGCAGTTGTCCGTAAATCAATCAATGAGATTATAGATAATTATCCACATCGGAAAGGTGCAACGTGAAAATTTCTGCTAATCAATTTCAAGCACAGAGTTAGCTGTAGTATTGATCACTTGAATTTTTGTTGCGGGCCCGTCAAATATCCCTGCAAAAATGCACCACGAACTCCGGCGTAATGTCTGGGGAAAGCGAGGTCCAATTCCTCCCCACATCGTAGCAGTTTCCAGCCACTCCGAAACGCTGTACAACTTCACACCTGTTGACAATGTTCTTTTGCAAACTACCACCCGTCGTGGTAGTTATTTTCCCTAACTTAATGACCCATTACATTGTCTGTGATTCGCCCTTTGTTGGTCGTAAAAGGGCATTCAGAGGGCCACTTGCCCTTCTTTCTCTTCGCCGTTAGTTGGGAGTCGGTCCGGTCACATGATTTTGTGTGCGTCCATAGCCGAGCAACGTTCGCGTCTAAGCCATTAGCGCGCGTCTACCGTAACCCAAATCCGTCCGATTGGCCAGCGTTCCAAGCAGTTATTGTAGGCGTGCTTCAACCGTGTCAGTGACAATCTTGTCAGGCGTCTCTCAATCTTAATTTTTTAACCATTCGGTACGTGGGAGGAGGAAGTCGGATGCCATTCGAGTACGGTTGTACTTTAGGTCATAATTCCAAAGTGGCTAGTTAACCAGAATAAATATAGCATATCCGTTCAAGTAACAAGATGTAGAGCGTCCAACTCTATATCCAAGCTATTTTTTGAAAACAGCTAATGTGGGAGCACAGACAACTGACTTTGGAAGGGTGTTCCGGGGTTAGCAGACACGGAGGGAGAAGTAATTCCGTCGATAATCAAGACGACTGTGTTGTTGACTCCGTTTCAGGCTATTACCTCTGAGGTTGGCGCTCGTGTTGTTTCGGTAGATGGCCGCATACGTGACTGGGGTCGCTTAGTATCTAGTAGACAAACCTAAGGTCTCCACGTATCCGCCGGTAGCGTCCACTGAATACTCCGAGTGTCTTCCGTCGTTGCTGGTAAGGAAGGTTGCGCAATCCCTTGACAAATTATTTTTGCTCGACGTTGATGAGTTTCGAGCGCCGCAAGATCACATCTTAGCTAAGGATGCGAAGCCTAGATTGCGTATTCGACGTGAAGACACCTAGGCATTGAGCATCCGAGAGAAGGTGGATGAGTCCAAACCCGAATGCGCTCCGCAAGAGACCAACTTGCTGGTTACCTCTTTTTAAAGAGGATTCTGACTGTCTGGAACAACCGAGGTCGTCCCGTACCAGCATACCGAGACCACATTCCTGAGAGCTTGTCTGCAGATCTTGCGCCCCCAGTTTATGGAGATAGGCGAATTTCCTGACTCGGTGCAACAACTCAATCTAGCTGACCGGAAGATGTTCTTACTAGATGTGACGTCGCTTTTCCCCAACGTCCCGTTAGAAGAGACCATTGACTATCTCTGCCAGTTTAT